CAAGTAGAAAGATACTTTCCTCTTAATCAACGAAATTTTTTTTTACGTATTTTAAGGTAAAAATGCATTTAAATAGATTAAAAAATAAAATATTAATCTCTTCAGCTGATAAAATTAATATAATTAACAAATTATAAGAGAATTTTCAAAAATAACTTAAGTATGTGAACAACTATATAAAGAAAACATTTCATACAACCTGATTATATATTGATTTATACTCAATAGTTGTTACATTATTTTTGTAAAAAAAAAAATGGAGAAATACAATAAGATATGAAAATAGTATCACAAAAACTGTGACATATATACACTAACAAAGAACACAAGGATATGTGTCATATATACCCAAAATTATTAACTATCAATCAATTGTCATATGAGAATTTTGGTAACGTTTTTAGGCTAATTATAACTTCGGTTATATTGATTCGGGTCATTCATGGATCATGTCACGTAGTTAGAAAAACATGCTCACCGCACCATTTTTAGTTCGTCGTTTTAACATATTTTGAACGTATATCTAGTTTGACGGATCAAAAAGTATTCATATATCAGATATGACTGTTGTAATAGGAAACTGTGCCACCTCTGGCCAATTCATTGTCTTTACAGTTGCCATGAATATTTTTACGATCTGGAACTTATTTCAGTTTAATATATATAACAATAAATATCAACATATTGATATTTTTTTAAGTGATATGCAATATTCTGATATGAGCTTAGATATTATTATAAAAAAAAATGGCTAGGGGAAAAATGGCTAGAGGAAAAAATGGCTAGTTGGTTCTTATGTTCTATTATTGAAAATGTAGATATTCCTGCAATATTAATTGGGACCTATATAGGCAACAACTCATGTCTACAAAATTCTACAGTGATACACTACCGAAAGGAATTCTACAAGATTATGTAGAGAGCCTGCAATTATGTATAAGGCAATATAGCTTCATAATCAACAGTGGGATGAATTTGTGAACCATAGTTTAGTATGTGCCAGTGTCGTATATCTTCTCTAAACTTTTTGGATATGGAGTGAAGCATAATTGCATCACTATTGAACGCCAAGATCAGTTGGCAGAATAAATAATGCCTTTATAGGAGACGTGCATAGGGCTTCTGTTAAGGCAGTACTTTTGACCTGATGTACGCACAACAGACTACTACACTCGGCAGCCTTTTAAAAGATTAGTCTCAAATTGTCACTCAAATTAAAGAAAATACTTTTTCCTTTTCTTCTTTCGCGATATATATTTGAACATGAAAAGTCATTGGGCTTAATCGAAGTTCAATCGAAAGTATCATTAAATACTGCTAAGCTAATCAGAAGTATTTATGACATGGTATTTTATTTTACTCTACTCTCTAAAACAATGTAATCCTTATTTTTATTCGTTTTGCTTCTAAACAAATTTTAAATCCTCACATATCTGTACAAATTTAAAAAACCAAAGCAAAAAACTTCAAAAAAATATATTGAGAATATCGCGAAATATCTGTGAAAACCTAAAAACCGCATTGCAGCAAAAGATTGCTTCAACACAATCTGTTCTAAACAAGCTAAAAACTCCGGAATGCAACTCTCTAGAGTGCCTAGAAAGGAAGTGTGAAAGTGAAGGCAACCGCACTTTGCTACCAATTTTCAATCACAAAGGCAATAAATTTCACTGATTGCTTCGATTGTCAAGTTTTTTGTTTTTTCCTCATCACTTTCGGTTTTCGTCATTGGTTTTTGTTTAGAGGTCTGGAATTTTAAAATATTTTTTACTCAGTTAAATGTGAGCAATGGAACTATCTTAAATTAGTTGATTTTTTAATAGAACTATGCTTATATAAAGAAATATTTAGGTTTAGAAAGGTTTTAATCAGATCACAAACAATTTTCTTTAACAAAACCTACTTTCAAGTATCTGTAAAATAAATATTTGTAGGACATCTAAATAACATCATATGTATTATATATATGTAAGTTTTTTAAACTAATATACGTGACTTTATCTCTATTTAAAACAAATAACATGAAACACAATTAATAGTCCTTTAAAGCTTAGGTGTTGGTACAATATTTCTTAACAAACCTTTTATAAAGACATCTATCATGTAATGATATTATTAATATCGGTTAAATATCTGTCATTATGTTTAAGAAATCAATCTCTCGAGTTTTAGTTAACTCATTTAAATAAAAAGAAATTCTATATAGTTTGGTTATTAAGGAGATGTTATGGATCAGTTACGATTATTGACTAATTATATTGCTGTGGATATCTCAAAGGACTTAAAATGAAATCAAATCTTTGATTGAGTCTAAAATTATCCAAAAATAAAGTTACCAGCATATGTAATCAGCACTATTATTTCGTTGACTTCCTAATACATCGCAAATATACTGATCAACATTATCCCACTTAATCCTTTTCAGTATAACGCAGCTCATTTTTTATTTTCACAGATAAAAGAAAGAAAGAATAAGATTTTATAAATCGAGTAGTCAGATAGTTTCTTGTCTGCCTATGAATCACATAAGCACTGTTTTACCACTAATTATACGGGTCTAATATTATAAATTTCAAATCCACCAATATCAAAATCAATCAAAAGTACTCAGACTTTAATGAATGTGCTATACGCTTTTATGCTATAGCACATTATTCTTTTACTTTTATTCTTTTACTTTTTCTTTCTAAATTAAAATTGATATCAAAAGGTCAAATACTGTAAAAATAAATTCTGTCATGAAAGTTGAATACAAAAAAACCGCCGAATACTTTTTTACCAATCACTATTAACAAAAACGATATCCTCGTATATACGTATTTAGACAGTATATCCCGGTTCAGTTTTACAAGTCCATATACATGTACTATATATTTGAATTGAATGAATTTTAACGATTTACTTTAATCAATACTTTGCCTATCTAGAAAATCAATAAATTATAAAGTCAGGCTTTATATTTATAAAGCCTGCCGTGGCACTAGGTTAATTAGAGAATGAAATGAAAACCAATTATTTCGTGTCAGTAATTTATTATACTAACTATTTATTATATAGCATTTTATTTTAATAAAGGCGTAATTACATTTTTAAAATATTAAGCGCCTTTTAGCTTTAGGTTTTTCTTCAAAACTATCGAGAGTATCAACTAAGTGAAATGAACCATCCATATAGCTTGTTTCAACCGTTGACTGAATAAGTGAACTGTCTGATAAATTTGAAGAATTGTCTTCTGGACTATAGATAACTATGCTACTACATTCACTTATTGAATCCACTGAAAAGACATCCGATTGATCACCTGTATTTTCCATATTAACACTGATGTCCATGCCATTGAAGGTAGTTTCTGCGATAGAAGCATTTCGCAAAGTTCCAGCTAAAGACACTTCTAAATAAGAATTTACAGCCATTACATTTTCAACTATTGCCACGGTTTGCTTACCAATATTTTGGAAACTTGCACCAATGTCATCAGCAGGAATAGTTCGTAGGCCAAGAGATGCAAAACGCTCTTCCTCCGAAAGTTTTTTTTGTATGCTAGTTGGAGTTGGAATGGCATTAACTTTTCGATTTTCCATACTGATAAATAATTAATATCTTTGTAATAATAAGTACGACTTATTTTTACTGGAATTACAGAAATATTTGAAAGCTAACTAAAAAAATTAGAAAATAGTTTGACAGATTATTTTCAAAGGTTACCAAAAACGAAATTTTTTTTTTGGTAAAAAAACATGTCTTCTTAGACTAGAATCAACTGACAAAAAATGCACAGTTTTAAAGGTTTTTAACTATATTTTAACGAGTTTTAAGATTCAGTAAATACGCACATTATGTCTAAAACTATCCGGAATTAAAACAGAAAAATATTTATATTTTTGCTCTTGAATCAGACTCTATTGATTGATATGCAAGTATGGCTGGACTTAACTTAAACGTATTTAGATTTTTCGTGAATTGATTGAGGTATGGTCTTTAAAGCTTTAAGGAATTTTTGCAATGTTAAAAAATTATTAAAAGTTCTCCCTTGTGAGGTCCGATTGCCGTGCTGATGTTTGAACTTGAGTATTAAAAATTTCATGGACCTTTCTTCGATTTAAACCGTGAACGCTGTCTGGTAATGCATCAAGGCAGTAATTAAATAGTTGATGAATTGAGATATAGTGTGAATACATATGTGCATATACATATATATGTTAGAGATAAGCCACTCTGTGGACGTATGGTCGCCTTGTGAATGGTTGACTGATAGTAATGCCTATTCAAGACAGTACTTCAATAATTGATTAATTGAGATATAGTGCGGATACATATATATATAAATAGACATATATTAGAGAAGAGCCACTCTGTGGACGTATGGTCACCTAATGAATGGTTGACAGATAGTAGTGTTCATCTGGTCACCTTGTGAATGGTTGAGAAATAGTAGTGTTTATCTGGTCACCTTGTGAATGATTGACAGATAGTAACGAATTGGATTATCTGCTATCTTATACAATAGATACTCTTTTAGTACTAACAAAGCTGAGCATCCTAATATTATTAATAATTTAATTTTATATAAATTAAAGTTTTTGCTGAACTACTTGACAGGAATAATTGCTTTCAAAATGTTAAATTATAATTGCATTCATTTTGAATAAAATTTTTAAAAAATAATAGTTATAAAACTTTGAATGCATTATCATAAGTTTTACATGTGATTTCGATTCTGTATTGATAATGTATGAAAATTCTGCTGGAGTTCACAAAACTTTACTTATAATTCACTTAGAAATTTGAAAATTCTGTTCGAAGTAAACATAAATAAAAGTTTGAATTCCATGAGTTTCATAATTGCGAACTTAAAATTAAGTATTGGTTTTGCGCTACTGTGTTTTAGAACTTTTCCGTACCCAGAGAGACAGTTCAATGCATTTTTATTGAAGCATTAGAACGCATTAAGTTGCAACTTTGCCCTACACTTGAGTGTAAAATTGACTTAAACATCAAGTGAAACTTTGAAAATTGCTATTTCTTGCATTTGCACATACAAAATTTGCAATTGTTTTCACAAAGTTTTAAGATTGAAGTACTCTGGAGTAGTCTAAGCTAAAGCACCTTTGCGCTTCTTAATTCTTTGAGTGCAAATTATTAATAATTCGGTGGTTTTTAGTGGGAGTTGGTGAAAAAAAGTAATTTTTACCATATTCCTTTTGCTTGATATATAACCTGGAACTATAACTTCTTCTACGAAATTGTTTACGCTAATTAATGTAGTTATTTACAGCAAATTATATTGATTTTAGATAGAACTGCAGCAACAACGAGTAGAATCTATGTTCATTAATGCAAAATATTAGTATAACAGTACCAAACTTACACAAAGGTGCACCTGACACTAGGCAAGACTGCAAGTTCTCAACAAAATTGCTTGACACAAGCACGTACCCTAAATATAATGTACTATATCTATAATCTTATCTATAATCTATATATAGTATATCTATAATGCTGTGTCTATTAAAAAACAAAGTAAGCAATTTAAGTTATGCCGATAATCCACTAATAACGGCACCTCTTGTAGAGCGGTTTACTCTTCTGATAGAAAAGCTTACATCCATTAGTCGGCACTGCGGCTGAAAAATAAACAAGTTCAAAACGAAAGATTTTATTTTTGCTTTTTGAACTTAGAACCACTTCCACTATTTTCTGTCTGTAGGTAGAATTAAAAATTATGCTCTTATCATGAAATTATGCTTTGTACATTACTCACTTATATCGCCTTTAAGTTAAGGTGGATGTCCATTACAGCACATTTGGTCTGGGTTCATATTCCGTTGAGGTGTTCTTTAAAAAATACTTAGTTGTTTCGTTCCAGAGACAAAATTTCAAGCACCCACAAAAATGGTTATTATAAAAATCAACATAATGTTGTTCTGATATCATTGGAGACCAATATGTAAATAGCACCTATCTAATATAATATTATATTATGGATTTACTTAAAAAATTCATCATTATTTACGTACATCTAATTAAAAGTAATTTAAAAAGTCGAGATGAAATGAAGGACTATATCCGATTTCATATTTTAGAGTTGTACTATAGGTATATGTTTGGAACTGCTTTTTATTCAATCTATATAAGCATAGTTAAAACGCTTAAAAGTATCTAGAATTTATTTTCACTTGCAGATATTGGTTACAATTTAAAGCCATTAATACTGCTACTACTCGTACTATTGGAATCGTTATGGTCTAGCGTTAAAGCTGATTATAAAATATCTGAGATACAACAATGCATCCACTTTTAAATTTTTTTTTATTATTCTCTATATATTGGTTTTTTATAACTATCTTTATATGGGTAAAATTTTGTAGTAATTTATGATGTACAGCAAATTGTTGAAAAAATTTCACCAAAAACCAATTTGCCAAAATAACTGCAAAAAACTGAGAATTACAGATTGTTTTTCAATATAAATGTTGCCTCTTACATATGTACAATACATTGTTTTTGTATATAATTTTATGCTTTTTGCGCATGGATTGCAATATATTTTCATTTCCGTTCTGTAAACAACCATTTTGGTTATGTTTCCTCTTGTAAAATTGTCTGCTTTTTTGTTTTATTGAGTAAAACATTTTGGTCGGCGGTCGTTAAGTGTGATTGAAAATCACATACAAAATAATAGAACTGGTAAAGTTGCACAAAGGATGGTATCTTTTTTATTACTTTAACAAGTAATTCTTAAGCAAGCCAAAAAAAATTTTAAGAAAATCCAAAAAAAAATATAGTGTTAACAACGCTCTAGGATCTGGAATAAATTACAAGTTAATACATCTAGCAAATAATATTTAATATAATTTGAACTTTATAATATATATTGCTGCTTTAAGGTCTTTTTCTGACTCATTAAAGTTGATCAAAATATTTAAATAGAATATTTTTTAACAGAAACTGTCATAAAAGCTCTAGTTTAAGTTGAGTTCATGGAAATCAGTGATGAAAAATGCTTTAGAAAAAATATACGACTATTTTGATATTCTCAGATAGGCAGTCATTAAGTAAGGTTAAGTTATACCAGCGATCCTGATGGGATCCACTTAGGTCCAAAGTCCTATTGTGCTATCATATTATTAAATACCCAAGTATTAAAACTATCTAGATCCTTTGTCAAGGCTTATGATGCTATTTAAAGAGAGGTCCAAAAGATTCTTAAATGCCCCTAAAATTTTAAAGCGTTTCCGTGCATGTGCTGTACAGAAGCAAAGTAGGTGGGAGACGCTTTCATCATCCTCACCACAACTGCGGCAAATATGGTTGAAAGGGAGAGTAAGTCTCCTAGCATGGTTACCTAGAATACAATGGGCTGTGAGTAAACCTACAGCAAGACTGATATCTCTACGGAGCATCTCTATAAGAGAATTCGATTTTCATCATATCGTATAGTCATTAAATCTCTTTAATTATTATAGGAAACCTCGTGGAAACCTGAAATAATATTATAACAGATAATTCAGACGATTACAAAAATACTTCAATCTAAGATCATTATATCTAACATATTTGAAGTAATGACAAGCTCATTTATTAATTAAAACTGTATCAGGTACCGCATTAAGCTTTATTATTATGACTTGAAGATTTTTAGGGTTGATTTTTATTGTCGAATTTGACGCATCTTATGACGAAAAGAAATTTCAATAAATTAAATAAATTTTTTTGTTGTTGCTTCTTGGTTACTGTTTGAACACTTGAAGTTTTTAGTTACTTTAAATTTTCAACAAATTTAAAGCTTTTATAAAATTATATACAGACTAATATAAATTAATTCTAGAGATCACTGAAGATAGCTATTTGGTATCGTAAAGTAATTCTTATGATTTTAAAAATCAAAAATCTTCAGTTCTTAGTCATCAATCGATTAACGTAAGTTTAGCTATACTCAATATGTATGACTAATACTTATTTCTTCTTTTTACAATAAAATTTTTTCTAATACAAGACAAAACTCTAACTATGGTAAAAATATAATACTATATCCGTAAAAAAGTAACGCTGTTTAGGGAAGTAAGCCATTTTGATAAAAATATTGATCTGAGAGGATTACTGTTTAGGACAAACATATATTTTTGTGGACCTTTTTTACAAAATATTGTTTTTATATATTACGAATCTATATCTCAGAAACTTAGTGGACCATTTTTAGTGGACATCATCATTTTTAGCATATAAATTTTGTTTGCTCTTTATGTGTAAGTATATCTTAATGAATAATACTTCTTTTGAATAGCCTGAACCTTTTTGATAATATTCACTTGCTACTTGCAATATGAATCTTACTTATTATTCTTCAGTGATGAGTTTATTATATTTTTCTGCATAGGATGTACATAAGATGAATACATTAGAAATGAGTTTACGCATTTTCGCTTAAAGATATTAATACACATAATATCTTCTTTTGTATTATAAACCAAATTTTTATTACTCTCAGGCATATAATGTGTACAATGATTATTATATTTGGATTAAAATTATATTTTCACAACAAAAACAAATTGTGTAATAAAAGTAGACATACGTAGATGATAATCATTACACAATGCTTTCCATAATTTATCTACTCCTAACAACAATACATTTTTGTGTGATGTCATATGTTTAAACTTACAGATTATA